TCAGTTTAAAAAAACAACAACAAACCAAAACCCTGCATCAAATAAGTTGGGTTGGTTTTTTTTTTGCCTCTGCACATACATCAGTAATGCTTAGTTATCTGCTCTGGCTTGTTTCTCTAAGTTGGAACTTGAGGTGCATTTTTTTTTTTTTTTTGAATTTGAGGTTCTACTTTCTCTGAAGCAATCTGACTTAAGGGTTGACCAGAACTTTGAGATCTGCTCTAAAATAAATAATCCACATGGTGGCCTTCCTAGCCATGAGACCTTTAACTACCACCTCATGTCACTCCCTCTGCACCAGGCTGGAGCAGTTCTCCTAGAAAAGAACAGGATCGTAGACCTGGTAACAATGTGGAACTTGCCCTCAGCTGGAGTGTGGTTTCTTGCACTATAAGCCACAGTGTCTCTGCTCACAGAAGAATCGAACCCTTGCCTATTCTGACTTGGCGCCTTGCACCAAACTGGCTCTGAAGTGGACATGACTTTGACAGCACAGACATTCAAAGTGGCACCCATTGAGTCTTTGACTATGCTAGTTGAGATGAGCACTGGACGTTAAGGGTACTGGAGTGACTGTATCAGCCCTTCAATTCTAGTTACCTTTTGAATAAAATGACGCTGTTCAAGCTTCTTGTATGAAGGATTGGAAATGCAGGGAGCTTTTTCTTGCTGCCCATCTGTTGTGCTTTCACTTTCTCACTTGGACCTTCATGAACTTCTCTATGCTACAAGAGGCATCTCAAATTGCAAGAGCTTCCTCCAGATGTCAAGTTTGGACATGAGGGCAGGTCAATGAGAAATCAAATGGAACTAGTGCTCTGAGTGCTTCTCTCCTGAAGATCAGGCCTCAGTCTTGCTTGTGATCCCACAAAACTACTCTAGTGCCAAGTGGATGAATCCATCCAGCATATCTGTCCTGCTACTCTTTGCTAGATGGCTAAATCAGGACCTAGTCCCACTGCTCAAGCTAGCTGCATGGCACTGTACAAATGAGCTTATGTGGCCCTGAGTGGAGGGAATGGGATAGACTTTTAGGCTTGAGCAGTATTCAGAGCTGACAGTGCTGGCTCAGGATTAACAAACCCATGAGGACTATTCAAACAGTAACTCCCCAGAGCCCTCTAGTGGGTAGAAGAAAGGGAAAACCACCTGCTTGTGGGTTAGACTTGGCTTTAAGATGCTCTTATGTAGCAGCTGAGCTGAAACTCTTCTTTTTAGATACAGCAGAGCTAAAGAAGCAAGCATGCAGGCTGCTGCTAAATGCGAGAGATTCCAAAAGGCAAGCTTAATTTCCTGCTGAAGAGGAATTAAAATGGTGATGCGCTTTATGGGACCAATAACCGCTCAGGCTTGCTCTGCTGCTCTTGAAGGCTTTGCTTAAAGCTGTACTGGCTTTAAGCCCCTGATTCTGAGCCAGGGTGCTGCAGCACCCTGGGGTGCCTTGAGATCCTGCAGGGGTGTTGCAGGTGCCACACTATTAAGCTTGTAGTTCACAAGAAGTCTGAATATCTGCATTCTTTGCAACAGAAGAATTGCTTTATTTTTCTGTAGGCAAAAATAAAATGTCAGCTCTTCCCCCATTCAAAGGGTGCCTCCAACTAAAAAGGTTGAGAATCACTGCTGTAAGCAGTATAAAAGCCTGTGGCTACTCTTAAACTGGTTTATGCAAGACCTGGGCCCTTCAAAAGTTCAAATAGCCAAGACCCATTGTGCTAGACATAAAACAAATAGATTTCCTGCCCCAGGGAGCATATCCAAACACGAGACAAAGGATAATGGATGTCTATATACAGACAAGTGGGAAGAGTAAGGAAACAAGCTAGGCAAGATTAGAGCTTCAGAGCTAATTAGAAATAGCCTAATGTTGACTGGCTTTTGAGTGTCTCAGGCCTATAATTTGAGTCCTACTTTAGCTCAGCTGAATTCTGAAGTCCAGCAAGATCAAGAGGCTCAAGGACCAAACTTTAACCAGTGAAGAGGGCTTTGGACAAAAACCACAGTGTATAGCCCAGGGAGATGCTCCTAATATACTAAAGTGCTTTCATCCTCTTAATTATTCCCTTTGGAACAAAAAGGGTTGGGATTCTCCTAGCTTTTTAATAGAAGCTAAGGTGTATAAAAACTCTCAGCTGGAAGTGCCCAGCTGTTTAGATGGCATGAAGGGGAAACTGGTTAGTTGCAGGCATATAACAATGATTCCTTCTTATTGTAATGGTACAACAGAGCAGTTCTGTGAAGGTTTTTTGATGGTTTAGTAAAATGTCACTCACCACATGAGCTTACCAGAGCAGTCTCTCAAATGCATTGCAGTACAGCTGGATTTTTTTCCTTGCCCTGGAAGGAAGCAACACTACCCATGGCTACTAGCCAGCACAGACTTCTTGCTTCTTCCACCCTGACTTACTCTAAAGCATCATCTAGGGTGACGGGTGCAAACTGGCCTTAACTCCTCTCTGCAGGGTAACACTTAAACTAACTGGAGAAAACTCTTCCTTTGATATCCTAGCATAAAAATGTCTCCAGTCTGACTGCTCTGGCAGCATCTACTATCTCATCTTGGCAAAGACATGAAACTAGTCCTCAGCCATAGGGTATATAATGGATTTTGGTGAATCCTTCCTGACTTGAATGTCTTGGATGTTACAAAATGGTCCAAGGGGTAAGGGATAACATACTCAGAGCTGAGCTTCCCCTTTGGCAAAGCAAAAAGAGTTGACTTAATAGTCTGATGGTAACCAGCTGTAGAAGAAGGGAGCTCTTGGGACTGCTGGTGCAGGCACTTCAGATGAAAGCTGCCCCCTTGTCTCACTCTAATTCAAGGCCCTCTACAGCAGAGGTACCCAACCACTAGGCTGCGGCCTGGTACTGGGCTGTGGAAGGCTGGCTGCTGGGTCATGGCCCCCCCTCATCTGTCTGCCTGGGTGAGTGGCTTCTGCTTGCAGTGGTCATGTGGGGGGCAGCTGGCTCTGTGCCCTATGCTGATCACTAGTGTAGAAAAGGTTGGGAACCATTGCTGTACAGGATTGGACAGTTGCAGCCGACTGAGTCCACTTCTAATTAAACTAGAATTTCTAAAAGCTTTTTCCTGCCTTGCTTCACACAGTAATACCCTCAAACCCTAAAACACTCAAGTTGTGAGTTCCTGTTTATTCCTTGATTAACGTTGTTGTGGATCTCCTTTAGTTGAGATCAATGCCTGAGATTCCAGTATTTCTGTAGTTCGTGTTACATCTAGTAAGATCAAGGCTCTTGTGGCTCTTGCAAAACTCCTCAGTCCCTCTAAATAGTGCGTGGAAGACTGCAGCAGGAAACTGATTGCTGTTGGCAATCTACAGCTTCTCTGCCAGATGAGTCTTGCAGCTTTATCTATTATTCATGTCACCTCTAGCCTGCCATGCATTTGTACACCCCCTCATGTCTCCTGGGCTAACTGCTCAAATGGGAATGGACATGGGACTCCTTGTTCAGAAAGCATCCATGCATTTACATTCCTTACTGCATGTGTATCTAGGGACTCTTAGTCTTATGCTCAGTTACTTCAAGCCATTACTGCTACCCTTAGCAAAGGGAAGCATGGAATGGTGTGTGGCAGGGTAGATGAGCCAAATGTTTTGTTGGGTGTGGGGGGGTGTGGATTCATCAAGTATTACAGTCTCAACTCCTAGTTTCTGAAAAATCCTGCTGGACTGAACAGCTCTGTATAGTGTCTGTGACTAAACTGATGCTGCAGTCAACTTCCTAGGAAAATAAAACTGTTCAAAATATCAGGCTACAAGCTGACTTAAACCTTGATTTACATGAGAGAACTAAATGCCTTGCAGGAGGGCTTGTAACTCTCCTTCCTTACAGCTTCAGGATGAGGATGTTTGACAAAAATGTCTTTTTTGCTCCCTTCTGGAAGCAAGGATGGAGCAACAGCTACTGCTCAGCAGTCCTTGGTGCCAACACTGCTCAAAGTTCTTGATTGCACTACTGGAACCTGTGAAAGAAGATGCTGGTTGATGCAGCTGCAGACTAGAATCTGCTGACAGATCTTTGAGCCATGTTCCAACCATTCAGTTTGCTCTTTAATTCTCAGTTTTAGTCTGCACTTGTCAACCTGGTACTTGAGGCTGCCAGTGTGGTGCGAGATGGCTTTAAAACTACACGGAGTAATAGGACACTGTTGTCAGAACAAGATGTCATCTGCTTTTTTTTCTGTTCACTTCCCGTCCCCCCCTTCCATGCAGAGGTACTTGGAGTTGCAACAGAACTGACTTGTTGTGGCTAAAATCTGTAGTATGAAATGGGCTTTCCTCTAAAGCAAGGATTTAGCCTTTGATTGCACTGGTCTTCCTTTGGTGTGGACACCCCTGCAAAGAAGCTTAGTAGTCTGGGGGGGGGATGGTATGTGCCCAGCTCCAACAGATTGTATTTAGATTGCCTAGTGCTCCCTCCCCACCCTGTGCATACTCTCTTCCACTGAGGATGAAGTTGTCCTACTGGATCATAGATCAGAGGTTAAGAAAACTAGTTACTTATGTACTAACAATTATTTTTGTTTTCCTGTTGAACACACTGAGTTCTAACACTGATCAGGGAAGTAGTAGCTATTCCAGGAGTGGTGCATTTATGTGCCTTTTTGGCTTCAGATTAGACCTTGGTGTATCTGGTCCATCTTCTTGCTTCTTCTGGGATACCCCAAACACCTGTAAACTGATACTGTCTTTTTACTAGGATCCTAACTCTATCTTCAGTGACAATGTGCTGATACTACCAGGTTATAGTGCAGTTTAGGGTATAGGTCCACAAAAGATAAACCAGCTTCAGTTGTTGACATGTACCAGCCTCTAATGTAAGCAGACTGTAGAACTTCTCAGGAATGCTGTGGAGCAGAATTTGGAGTTGCGTAAGACCTGGAACCTGTCTCGGTTCTGACGGAGCAATTGACTTTGTAGCTGCCTTTGTGCAATAGGCAGTTCCTCATCTGATTTGACAGGATTCATTTCTTTCTCTTCCAGTTTGAAACATGACCTCTAGGAAGAAAGTGTTACTGAAAGTCATCATCCTTGGAGACTCTGGGTAAGTGGAGCTACGTAAGGTAACAATCTGCTTCAGTCCAGCTGGGAGCAGAGCAGAACTGGGAAGTGTTATTTTTCTATGATTCTCTGAAATAGGATTGGAGAGAACTCCAGGAGGCTACATCTAGTCCAACCTCTTGCTCGAAGCAGGACTCCCCCAGCTATATTATCCCAGCCAAAGTTTTTTTTTTTTTTGTCTAATTAGGTTTTAATCTCCAAGGACATATTTGGGCTGTAGAAAGCATCTGGCTGCTTTTTATACTTGGAATGCAGTTTCCCATCTTTCCATATACTTTGTTATGGCTCTAGCAGTATTGTCAGCTTGTTAGGCAAGGGAGAACTTGGTTGAACTGGAGCAAAAATGCTTATCTTTTAGATGAAATGATTCTAAGGGGTAAAGTGCCCCAAATAGTTTGCTGAAAGGGGCACATGGACCAGCAAGTGGTGGGACATGTGGTTTCTGCCACTTGGGGGGCCCTAAAGAAGGGATGTGTGCCCACTCCTCTAACACACAATTACAAACCTGAAACAGAAGTCTTAATATTAAATCAGGCTTTCATCTCTTCATCAGCATCCATATGTTATTGCCTGGAGCTGAATGTTACATGAGCAACCAGCACTTCTTGGGACTGGAGCTGTAAACTCCTGGCTCCTGTTTACCGATGAGCAGACTTTGTTCCTGGGTTTATAGCAGCCTGTAATCTGACTCTGACTTTAATAAACAAATCTGATGTCACATCAGGGCACCCAGTGAGCTGCTCAGCAGGGAATGCTTGCCAGCCAGGAGAGTGCATGTGATCTCCAAGCTGCTGTCTCTGGAGACTCTACTTCCTGAGCTACTTCATAAAGACTTAATGAACTGGTCACTAAACACTTTAGTGACTGCAGCTGTACTAGTGAAACTGCCTGTTTGTACATGCTAGCAACCTTCAGTGAGCATAGCTTAAGCCTAGCCTGAAGAGACTTGGATTAAAGATGCAATTTACTGTGGGGTAAAAAGTGGGGCACTCTAGCTAAGGACTTGCTGTCCACAAGCTGGTTCTCTTGCCATGGGGTAATTGTATGCATCTAGACAGGACAGCTGCACAGTTCCACAGTGAATTATCTGTTCTCAATATCAGCTAGCATGTATGCAGCAGGAATATATATCCTGTGCTCTTATAAAGGGATGCAGGTTGTGGCTATAGGTCACTTAAATAATGGATGGAGGCTATGGGGAAACTCTTCTGTAGATCCTAAAGAAGGTGGTATTGCAAGAACTGCAAGTTGAAATACCTGCCACTCAGTTTCACCTGTCTAACTGAAAGTGTTAAAGCTTTGCATCCTTCCTGTGTTTTGAGGAGTACCAGTTTGGCTATGCAGTGATTGCTCAATGTTGTTCTGGGTGGAGGGGAGGTGGGCCTGTTGTCTTAATCCATCTTCAGTGAGAAGGAGCCAAGCTTGAACTTTTTTAAATGTGCTTCAGCAGGCATAATGGTGTCTGCAGAGGCTACTGCCTGCTCAGTCTTGCTGCTTTATCTATACAGGGTGGGGAAGACATCGCTTATGAACCAGTATGTGAACAAAAAATTCAGTAACCAGTACAAAGCTACAATAGGAGCAGACTTCCTGACAAAGGAGGTGATGGTGGATGACAGACTAGTGACAATGCAGGTAAGACGAGCAGCTATGTCTTGTTAACCCTTGGCTGCCTTGGGACATGTTAAGACTTATCTCCTTGAATACAGAGTGTATCTGAGCACAGAGGCTGATCCTTTGCTTCATAGTAACTTAACTACTGCATGTTAGCTGGGGAGACTTGGATCCTATGCTGGAAGCATGACCACATCCCAGTAGGCTCTTGGATACTCCAAGGAAGGATCCATCTGACCACTAATACCCAACACCAGCTTTTAAAAGCAGTTCCTCTTCTATTACTTTCCCCTCTCCCACTGTTAAGGGGTGGGAATGCAGAGGGATCAAAATGGACAAACCTCAGGTTGAAGCCCAATTATTATAAAACATTTTACTTAACATGTAAATTGCTGGAGGGATGTAAAATAGCCAAGCATTGACATAAGGGAGGCCCCAGTGGGCTACACAGACTTGGAATGTGGTCAGGCTCACTACCACTGGCATTTGATGGCCTCCTACCAATAGGAAGAAAAAGTACCTAGAGTCAAATCTATGGTGGGCCTCATCCAACTCAAAGTCCGTCTCTGCTGGCCAAGAAAGCAGGCTTTGAACCACTTTGGCCAACAGGCTGGAGCAGGTAGTATCAAAAGCTCTGGGTAACGGGGCTGAACAAGGCCATGCTACATCTTGTGCTTGGCTCCTCCTTGAATTCATTCCAGAAGCTTGTCAGGTAGTATAAAGCTGGGGACTTGTGGTAGAACAGGTTGTCTACTGTCAAGAGCCACAGATGCCTCAGCATTATGGTATTGATCCTAGATTGCATATAGGAGGCATTTAATGAACTGACCTTTGAACAAAGATACTGGGTCTGTTTTATCCCACACTTAAATTTGTGGGAAGGGGGGCAGTAACTCTGCCACTCAACATAAGCATGTACTCATCTAGACAATGACACAGCTGGCTTCCTGCACCCATGGTCATGACCATGATTTGCCAATTCAGTGTCAGCTTTACTAATTGTACATGTTAGCACTTTAATACTGGCCATAAGACTCTTTTTTTTTTTGGCTTGAAAGCCAAAAAATTGTGGGGGTGAAGCTAAAGTTCCTTTCTAGCCAACCAACTAGCAGTTATCTTTCAAACTGCTGTTCTGTAGCTGTGCCCCCTGCCAATCCCAAGTCTTGCACTTGAGTGAAAGGAGGCATAGGAGTGAGCACCTGGAAAGCCTCTTCCACTTACTGGTGACATCAGTGCCAGGTTAAAAGCAGACAGACTTGCTGTGAACAGACTAACTGGATCAAGGAACAACAACTACAGGAGTTGACTTCATTGCAGCTTTCATTCTGAAGCCCTTGTCCAAAAGGAAGTGTACTTCTAGATCATCCAAAGAATCTGACTTTTTTTTTTTTTTTAACTGTAAGCAGTAAACTAGAAGCAGCCACAGACAAACTACTGGAACTTGAAGCTCACTCTCCTGTGAGAACTGAAATGATGGCTCCAACAAGATTGGAAACTCTTCTGGGCACAAACTGTGAAGTGGGATGCTGGGGTATATAGTTTCTATCAACCAGGTCACAGGCTTGTAGGAGCTAACAAACCTGCTGCTTGCTGTATCTCAGCTGCCAATGAAGCTTATAAACTTGGGAGTATCCAGTGTAAGACCAGTGCAATTGCTAGTGACACTTCAGACTTAGCCTACTGGATGTGCCTGAACAGGAAGAGGAAAGTAACTTTTTTTTTTTCTGGTCCTGATGCATTACCCAGTTAGTGCAATGTGACCTTTCTGCTTTTGTTGTCATCTTCCCCATCCCCCATAAGCACCACTAAGAAGCACTTGACTGTCCAATATTGTAAAGAGCAAGAATATTTCCCTTGATGAGGATGGAAATGGTTGGCTGGTTAAGTACAATGGTCTAACTTGCCTCCTGCTTACCAAGTATGTAACAACCTCTAACCACTTCTGCGAGGCTGGTTTGAGGTAGAATTTGCTCACTCCAGACTCCCTGTATTTTGTTGCCTTGTGCAGTAGGGATGGGTACTGTTCCATGTCTGCACAGATGCCAGTCTCCTAAATTTTCTTTTTATCTTGCAGATATGGGATACGGCAGGGCAAGAACGGTTTCAGTCTCTGGGTGTTGCCTTCTACAGAGGAGCAGACTGCTGCGTGCTGGTGTTTGATGTGACAGCCCCCAATACATTTAAAACTCTAGATAGCTGGAGGGATGAGTTTCTTATTCAGGCCAGTCCAAGAGACCCTGAAAACTTTCCATTTGTTGTGCTGGGAAACAAGATTGACCTAGAAAACAGACAAGTAAGTACAAGGCCTTGCTGGCCAGCTTCTAAGTGAAAGTTCCTGGTGGGATGTAACTGATTGGGTTGGCTCGCTGTTTCCCCAGTTCACCAGGGCAAATTGGTGTTGCACTTGGATCAGGAACCTTGTGAAAAGAGCCACTGTAAACTACTACAGCAGAAGCATATGTAAGCCTGACAGTGGGAATATAGTAGCTGAGGAATTGTCCATTAGTTCAGAATGGGCACTTGGATGCTCCTCAGTTAAGGCTGTAATCCCAAACTTGTTCTTGGCTCATACGGTCTTGTTGCAGCACTTCATCACAGTTGTTCTAGCCTGTGTACAAGGCTGTAAGATGAGGATTTGCTAGTCAGTAAAGGGGCAGGGATCCTCTGTAGTTTGTTAGAGAGAGAACGGCCTCCTAGGCACATGGCTTATACAACGGTAACTTTCTTCTTCACTAGAGGCTACCAGCCCTTGCCAGATGATAGCTGAAAGCTCTTGCCTAACTTAGTGTCTAGGAAATGCATAGCTCCTAGTGTTGGGCTATCAAGTACATATTTGACCCTGGGTCAAATAAGGGTCCACCAAGGGCTAGAGTGAACAGGACTGCCTACAGAAGACTTGGCTGATATCAAGGAGGTAGTAATGTTGAAGGGGGGGCTAGCTAGGGAACTTCATTTTTAACTGTCATCTTGAGACAAAGGGCCTGGCTCCTGATTATTAAATGTAACCAGCCTAAACCTTGGGTAAAGAAAAATTGGTGTGGGTGCAGAGGCATGGCTGCAGCTCTCAAGCTATAGCTGGACCCGGGCTCCAGCATGCTCTGCACTGGCTGCCCTGGCCAGTGTGATACAGGGTCAGCCTCTTCAAAGTAACAGCTGTGGCTGACCAAACAGGGTGGTGGTTTCCTGGCTGTCTTGTTTAAAATGCCTTCATAGAAACTGATGTAGGCACAGAGTGCCCCATGCGTAGCTGGGCTGGTGATGCTCATCTCTTCCTTGTGCAGGTTACCACAAAACGAGCACAAGCCTGGTGCTACAGTAAAAACAACATCCCATACTTTGAAACCAGTGCCAAGGAGGCCATTAATGTGGAACAAGCTTTCCAAACTATTGCACGAAATGCACTTAAACAGGTATGACATGGAGTGTTGTCTGGTGCCCTCTAGTGGTAAAAACTAGTGCACTTGTGTTGTGTGCGGTGGGGTAGGAGGAGAGCATGGAAATAGCTGCCTTCTCTTGAAGAAGCTTCTGCCAAGGGACAAGATGGGCCCTTTCCAGCAGAATGCTTTTGGGTAGGTGGCTACCTACCTGGACTCCACAAGACTTTTCTTCAGTGGCTTGTTCTTGGATGAGAACCAGCGGGGAGGAGAAAGTGGGGGAATTGCAGTTGACGACTAACTTGGTTCCTCTTCATCTCCTTATTCATTAGGAAACTGAGGTGGAGCTTTACAACGAATTCCCCGAACCCATCAAACTAGACAAGAATGACCGAGCAAAAGCCTCTGCAGAGAGCTGCAGTTGCTGAGGTGGAGCTGGAGGGGTTGAGCACAGTCCTTCACAAATGGATATCACACTTAGGCCTTCAAACACAAAGCCCCTCTTCTGTATAAAAATAAAACAAAATTTTAAAAAATCCCATCTCCAGCTGCCAAAATCCACTCATCTCCTGTGAGCAACTGTAAGCCCAGCCCTCCTACACAGAGCTCATCCATGTCCCTATTCACATTGCCCCACTCCTTGGTAGCAGACCTTTTTTTTTTCTTGGTTTGAAATGGAAATTCTTATGTCTGGAATGGAAGCTAACCCTGGGTGTCCAATGGAGAGAAACTGTTTACAGGTAATCTGTGTAACAATTTGCATACATTTTTAACTGTCTTGTGTTCCCCTGTGAAGGCTGCAACTGGGAAAGGCTGATTACCCATAGTTCATTGCAAGCTCAGCACTCAGTCTGACTAGGTTGAGTTTTGTATGTATCTCTGTTAATGCTTGTTACTTTTAACTAATCAGATCTTTTTACAGTATCCATGTATTATGTAATGCTTCTTTAGGAAAAATCTTATAGTACATGTTAATATATGCAACCAATTAAAAAATGTATAAATTAGTGTAAAATTCTTGAATGACATGTCAAAATACTAAAACACAGATTCACTAGAAAGTGAGGAGGACACTTGAAGTGTGGTGTGCCAGCAACATGAAGTCCAGATAGAGGCAGTATTCTGTACAGTAGGAGTGAGAATTTTATGTAAAAGGTCTTACTGACTTTTGAGCCAAAAAGCTTCATCTCCTGTGGGCGAAAAATCCAAGTCTGTCTGGCTTCCTTGTATCTAAATTCTCAAAGTTGATTTGCATAACAGTGATATGCACACTGGATTATTGGATTTAAAATTAAATATGGCTGTGAAATGATCATCTTGTTTGTTCACCTTCCCTTCCCCCCCCCC